ATGGGAAGGGATGCCGGATCCATCCCATTGCCACTGATGGAGGGACTTCCCCCACCTCCGGGCTCTACTGGGGCCTGGGGAAGGGGTTTTTTCCTCCTCTCTAATTGCACTGTGCCCTGTTGCAACGTGGGTCCATTGCCGCTCCATGTGCCTGGCAGGAGGAGGAGATCCGTGCTTTTGTCAGGCAGGAGATGAACCAGCACTGTGGTGAGCATCCCCTACCACTGCTCTGGGGCTGGGGGTCTGGCTCCCATTGCCCCTGAACCCCCATCCCATCTCTCCTGCAGCCTGTGGCGGCCACCTCCCACGGCACCTGGATTCACGTGAGCACTCAGGTTGCAGCTCTCCCTTCCTAACCCCCTGCCCCTGCCCTGCATGTGTGGCACCAAAGGGGTCCCAGCACCCAGGAGTGCCACTGGTTTTTGGGGTGCTGGAGGCAGCTGGGACCCTCCAGGACCACCTCGGTCGGGGTCAGCATCAGCATGGGACTGTGCACAGGGAGAAGGGATGATGCGTGGCAGAAGCGAGGGCACAGCAGGGATCCCCAGGGGCAGCCGGCTCAGGGTCGTGCCAGCGGGGTCCAGGCACTGCCAAGGTCTGCCCGATTGAGAAGGGACCACGCAGATTGTGCCCCATCCAAGCTCGGGTGCCAGAGCCAGGGCAAGCGGGCTTGCAGGACTGCTGGAAGGGAGGGTGGGCTGGAGGGATGTGGGCAAGGGGTGGGCTGGGATGAGGTGGGCGCTTTCTCTCCAAGGAGGCTGGGGGGCTCAGGCCAGAAGCAACCTCCACTCTGCCCAGGGAGGAGGAAGAAGCGTCCGCCAGGAGAGGGAGCACGGCCAAACAGGTGATGGAGAGCCCAGAGGACCTACAAGATCTGGCCCTGTGGGCATGTGTGCCTTCCTGTGCCCATCCCCATCCCCATCCTGCTGGGCTCCCAGAGGGTGCTGTCTCACTGGGCAGGAGCTCCTCCTGCCTGTCCCTCCTCTGGGAGCCCTCCTGGCAGCCCTGGTGTGTGGTGCAGAGAGAGGAGGGGGTGTCATGTCACCAGGTCCCCATCTCTGGCCATGTACCCCGGCAGGCTGCAATAGTGCCAGGGCAGTGCTGGGCTGCTCCACACCTGCATGGAGTGGTTTCCCCTTGGGAGGCAGGGGGGGGAGTGTGCTGGGCCCCCTCACCTCATCCCTAATGCCTGTACCATGTCCTTCCCCCTCGCAGGGCTCTTTTCCACCCAGCAATTCCCAGCTGGCAGCACTCATGAAGTCCCTGTTCTCAAGTTGTCACATGCTGAGGAAGAGGAGGGTGAGTGTCATCCCTGTCCTTTTAGTCCTTGTCCCCCTTTTTCCCCTCTACCATGTGTGTGGCCAGTCATGTCCCTGCCCTCTGCTTGCAGGCACTGAAGGATAATCCATCAGTGGCCATGCTGCCGGTCCCAGGGGGCTTTAATTAAAGAGCAGGGAGAGGAGAGGGCAGCAAGGAGTGTGTGTGTGTGTGTGTGTGTGTGTGTGTAGGCATGCACAGGTGTGGGCTGTGTGTGTGCAGAGCAGGGACCATGGCTGGGGGGAGCAGGACGGAGGGGATGGAGAGCGAGGCGAGGGCTGCTCACGCCCAGCGCTGTCTCCCAGGGCAGGACGAGCGGGTCATGCTCGACACCGATGACCTTGAGTACAACAGTGTGTATGGGGACGACGAGGACTACGATGAGGTTCCGGAGATGGACAGCTCGGAGCAGTCTGCGATGCGTGGTGAGCTTCCCTGCGCCCAGCTGGCACCAAGGATGGAGCCACCGAGGGCGACCACAGAGCTGCCTGGGGTTTGCTGGGGTGATGCCTCCACATCTCACCTGGCAGTGGGTCCCTGTGCTCTCTGGCTGGGGGGATTTGGGATTTGCAGCCCTCTCACTGGCACCCAGGCGGTGTGCGTGCTCACCATCACAGCACGGTGCCACGCACACCGTGCAGACCTCGCGCTCCATCCCCCTCACCAAATCCCTCACCGGCAGTGACGGGTGCTTTGCTGGGTCAGTGCGACCTGCTGCCCATGGCAGGTTTCCTGGTCAGGAGCCACAGGAGGGGATCCCAAAGTCCCCAAGAGA